CATAATCAGTGGCTTGTTGAGGAGTGGTGTAGTCATCTCCCAGGAGCAACATCATGGCATTGCTCTGGCTGGGTTTTGTATCTTCAGCTTGGGCAGCAGACACCGCTTTCTCATCACCTTCCGTAGTGGCCATTTCCAAAGCAGAGCACATTTCAGTAAGTTTCTCTTTTGCGGCTTCTTTCTCCGCTTGTGCCAAAAATCGGAGATGTTTATGGCGAGGGTCCAGGACAGAGGCAATCAGCGCTGGTTTGGCCATCAACTCATCTGAGTCAACCTATGGCAAGCAATATCCCCATAATTAGTTAATTAATAAATAATAATAATTATTATAAAAAATTATCATCTACCTCCATGCGGTCACTTAAGGACTGCCGAACCTTCGCCTTGAACTCTGTTACTCTGTGGCTGTCCTCCTCGGCTGTCATCAGGTGTGTGTTCAGGAGGCTGAATGTGATGTTGTGGGGTAAATGTTGGAAATTGACACGTTCTTTTCTGTCCACATTACGGTGGTTGCACATTTTAAAGTTTCCAGCACTGGCACAATCTCAGCTATTATCTGCCAGTATTCGTCTCGCATCTCAAGGGTTCTGGCATCTTGCAGCTTTGCTACCGTTCTGTCAGACAGAACAGCTGTAACGGCCCATCTTTGTTCAAGAAGTCTCCCGAACATGTCACACATGTTTTACACGATTGAACGAGCTGGTGTTTCGGAAGCTTCATTTGTTCTTGTTTGTCTTCCAGTGCCTTGCACGCAGGTGTGCTGTGGTTGAAGTGGCTGACAAGCTGCCCAGCTGCAATAATAACACGATGCACAAACACATTAAATCCATCATTTACAGCGAACTGCAGCGTATGAGCAAAACAGGGAACCGAGTCCCAGTTCACCCGTCCTGGAGAGTTTGCAGCCACGATGTTGCGTGCATCGTCATGAACACATGCAGACACTTTCCCATTTAGACTCAAGGTTTCCATCGCATCAACTAGTTTAGCTGCAAGGTTCTCAGCTGTGTGTCTGCTTGTCATACTCTGTGTTAGTAGGACAGCTGAATTAACTTGCCAGTTCTCATCTATGTAGTGGCAAGTTATTGTTATATAGCTTTCCGTTGTAAGGGCCACAAGCAATTTTTTCCTCTCCTCAAAACAGGCTTCAATTCTACGGGTAATAATAGGTCTTGATGGGATATCGTAATTAGACTCAATATAGCTCAGCAGCTCTCGAAAACCTTCACCACAGACGACACTGATGGGCATAATGTCCTTAACTATCATTGAGCAGATTCTCTGAGTTATCTCTTCAGATCGCCATGCATCACATCTTCTCCCTGATAACACTGAGGGCAATGTTTGTTGTCCTTCATTGCACAATGCTTGTGGATGTTTGCTTCGCAAGTGATATTGCATCGTACTTGTACTATTGGTGTATTTTAATACCGCGTACCATATTTTGCAAGTCACTTCGTTGGCCTTTCTGTCGAAATGGTCGCACACAGTACTTCTTTTCGCTCGCTTCATTTTGCTTGCCCGGCAAAATACGTCCGAAGGCACGTGTGGTTGCACGTGATAACGCCATATGAGTTAACAAATAGCGTATGTGTAGCATATTTATGCCGCAAAACTTTATACTACTACTACTACTAATAATAATAATAATTAAAAAAATATATAAAAGCATTTTAAACCGTTTAACTGATAGTAATAATCAGTCATAATTCATTCTTTCGGTTAACGGTTAAACGGTCAATATGAGCATCCCTAGTCTTTAGTGACAACTGTTATTTGGTTGGTCTTTCTGTAATGATAACTGTGGCTCTATCTGTCAGTATGTCTGTAGTGATGTTTGTGTCTCTGTCTCTCTGTAGTGATGTCTGTAGCTCAATGTGTCTGTCTATGGTAATTACTGTGTCTCTGTCTGCAGGGGCGCCGTAAGGGGGAGGAAAGCTAGGACGATTCCA